ATTAACCATCAGGAACAAGATCACTCATTTCATAAACGATAGAGACAATCTCCATTCCCTTTGACCATGTCCTCCACATCTACTAAACCAACAAGAGTGAGACAGGAATCTCTTTTTGCCTTATTTCCATGAAGGGCTCCTAGTTTAGAGTTTAAAACAGTTCCCACTAGTGTACCCAAATCAATTAACGCAGAAAAGAATCATCTAAATTCTGGACAAAATTCACAAGGGGATCCTACTACTCTTACACCAGACATAGAGAGTGCTTCCCCACCAAAAGGAAAAACAATTTGATATGTGCATAACCACTGCAAATTCATTATGCAACCATACTTAGATGCTTGAACAAAAGAAGGTTACAGAATTTACTTTCCTGGAGTCACATTGGACCAGAATATTATACCCATTCTTTAGCTTGGAAATGTTAGAGCTTGAGCATGTTATGATATCAATTACGATTTAACCTCGAAAATATTAGAATTTGAACATGTTACATATCAACTATTGTTTTCTATTGAAATTATGTTGGAATATTCCTAGAAGGTAGTAACACAATTCACTAAAACCTAGGACAGAGCAAAAAACTAGGGTGAGCAATGAGCGTGATCAAGTCTTCCTATAACCAAATTAAAAACATTCCAATAAAACAAATACCACTCAATTAAGTTACCTTACCAGCAGTTTCTCTACCTTTTTTGTTCTGCTTTTCTTCAGTAACATCACCAGATTGAGACCCTTGTTTCTTCACATTGTCAGCATCATCACGCTTACTCTCGTGACCCTTCTTTTCCCTGTCTGACCCTCTCTCCTTTTCCTTCACCTCCTTGGAATCCTTGCCTTCTTTTCGACCAGAATCCTTCTCAGATTTCCTCTTTGACTCCACTCTTCCACTCTTACTCTCTTCTTTTTCCACCAATGAGGCAACATTACCTTCTTTCTTACTGCTTTTACTCTTGGAATCACTTGAGCTCTTTGTCTCCTTCCCCTTAGAACCCTTGTCTGCATCAATTTTCAAACTTTCTCCCTTCAATGCATTATCAGCAGCACCATTCCATCTATCAGCACCACCACTACCTACCTCTACCTTCTCTTTCCGACGCTTAGAAGAAACATACTCCTCCGAAGCATCACCATTTCCATACCCACTTAGATCTTTACCATCCTTGCCTTCCTTAGATTGGGAAGAATGTTTTCTCTTCTCACCAGAACCCGAATGGATTGAATCCTTAGAAACCCTAGCCAGACTATCCTCCTTACTACTCCTCTCTTTCTCTTTCTCCTTGGTTTTCACTTCGGAATCCGAATCCGAGTACGAATAATCCCTACACTCCTTCGGACTATACTTACTCTGCTTATGCGATTTATGCTTTGAACTCCGAGGCATGACTATAAATATCCCAAAACCTAAACCTAAACCTCTTTTTCAATCCCTTAACCTCCGAAACCCTAATTCACTCCCGGACACTGTAAACCCAATTCAAATCTAACAATCAAACGCCGGTTCCCCCAATCAGTAAAATGACACAAACTTCCAAAAGCCCTAATTCCCTTCCAGTTCCAAAACAACAACAACAACACAACAGCAATTAAACAAATTCCATCACAATCCCCCACCGCCGGAATGCAACCGATTCGAATCTGCCGGAAAACTCGCCGGAAACTTCCAGAAAGCTCTTGACCTTATTCTTCGAATCGGTTTTTCGATATAGAATACAACAATATAGTGTACAGTATACGTATATAGATACGTATAGAGAGAGAATTTGTAGAGAGAGAAGAGAAATTGGGGAAATTTATTGAGAGAGAAGATCGGAGGCGATGGGGTTTGTTGGCTGCTAAAAATTGAAATGTGGATTCGAATTGGGGTATCACAGATAATGGGATGTTATGTCGAAAATAACCTTGACGATTGTTTGTTTTTACCATAGAGTTAGGGCTGACACCTGCTATATACCCTCTGTTAACTACTCGATTAAATATTGAATAGTTTTTAGCAAGGGTATATATGAAATTTCGATACTTTACTACACGGAAGAAGTCCCCAAGCAGGCGCCTCTGTGTGTGTCTACTTCTAATCGAGAGTATATATAAGATCTCAATGCTTCTTGCTACTATCGAGAAGAGATTCTAGATACAGAGGTATCTTTTTATCAGTGAGTCTACTTTTTTCAGAGGGGTTTTTATAAGAATTTTACTCTACTACTCTCTAGAAGAGTTTAGAAGCAGGCGTCTCTTTGTTGACGTGTCTACTTAACTGAGGGTATATATGTAATTTCAATACTTCTTACTACTATTTAGAATAGTCCAGAAGAAATCACCTCTTTGCTGACGTATTTGTTTATAGCCAAGGGGTATTTATGAAATTTTTGTACTTTCTCCGAAGAGGTGATTGCTTATAGAAGCGGGTAAGTTTCTGTTGATGTGCTTCTAGCCGAGGATATTTATGAAATTTACACTATTCATTGTATAGAAAAAGTTAGAAGTAAGTGTGTCTTGTTGATGTGTTTATATTTAGCCAAATGATATTATGAATTTTTAATAATTTCTCAAAAGAGGTGTTTGCTTCTAGAATCTAATAACTCTTCATCGATATGTTTGCTTCTAGTCAAGTGTCAAGTGTATTAATGAAATTTCTACTTTACTACTCTTTAGAAGAGCTCGACCCATCTTTGCTGACGTGTCTACTATCAATGAGTATTTATGAATTTTCATATTTTTATCGAAAAAATATCTACGTATAACCTTTTTATAGAATAGTAACATTTACACTTTTTTAATTTGCTTATCTTACTCTTTTAGTTTTTTGAAAATATGAAAGTTGCATAATCTTTTTAAAATATTAATTTAAGGAAAATCTATTTATCATTTGGATTATAATTCATGAATAACAAAAAGAATAAAAATCATGAACAACATAAAAAAAATTGTAAACAAGTTGAATTAGATATGTTTATAAATCTACAAGTTTACTTTGGTATTCTAATAAGCAAAGCTAAAGTTTGATTCAACTTTTAGGATTTAGATTCCATCTTATTTGTAAATTTAATGACATCAAGTTTAACTCGAGTTTTCTACGCTAATACATTATGCAACAACGACTTTATAACTTTGTTTCCCTCTCTTTATACTTATTAAGTAAAAAATAATGGTTCTCGTTCTGCAAACAACTTGCTTCAAGTTTGAAAATAGAATCTAGTGTACTTTGTGCTAGTTATTCATTGATCCTTTAAAACTCATTATCAGAATTGTCAACTCATTTTTATGGAGCAAATATTGTTTTAAGAGTCGTTAACAATTGAATTTAACATGATGAGAATTTAGTAAAACTAACTACAAAGACTAACATCATGAAAAATAGTCGTCAACAAATTGAAATAAGAATTCATATATTAGCCATGATTCTTTCTTGTATTTCTTTCAAATCAAGTTTAGAAAATTAAGAATTTATGGAAAATAATTTTTTTACCTCAAAGAATTATAAATAAGATTTATGTACTGCATTTTTTCTAAACACCACTTGTGTTTGTTGTTGTTTTGAGTCAATTTCTACAAATACATTCTCGAAACATTCAATGTATGATATTGTTTATTCGCACAAGTAAATGTAAGATTTGAAGTTCACATTGAAATTGTTTATTCGCATAAGTAGATGTAAGATTTGAAGTCCATTAATTTTTACGATAATTTTAAATTAATAGTATATATTAATTATTGAATTTATTATCAAATATTTAATGAATCCTATAGAGACAAAAAAGAATTCTTTTCGTCCCCATTCTGGCTATTGATAGGAATAATTTACGCTCCAATTTATGCAAATTCAATGTGTACACTATATACACCTTTTATCAATACTTATTATCTCTAAATTGTGTTTAATAATGTATTAAAGAAAAATGGTATGAAATAGCAAAATATGTTATTCAAATTAAATAATATAGCTATGATTTATTTTGTTTGTAATTTGTCACAAACATTCCATTCTTTTGTAATCTGATTCGCTATACAATTAGTCATTTCCGATATATAATTAGACATTTTATATATTTCGATATAGAATGTATAAAATGTGTTTGTGTTTGTATGAAACGAGAGAAAAGATTATATACAAATACATACATACATACATACATACATACACACACATATATATATATATATATTCGTTCTATATACTTATGATTATATAAATCTAGATCTTATTATACAAATTACAATTTATAAATGAATTTATACAAAACTGAACAATCTGAATAAAATTGGATGTATCTAGCGAATTATACAAATCAAAAACTCCATAGCAAACATAAAATTTATTATGGAACGCAATTATGCAAACTATATTTACAACATACAAATATGATTTTTATGTTTGCAATTTGTGAAAAATTACGTCTTTAAAAAAACAACTTTAGAGGCTATTTAGATGAACTTAAAAAGTAACTTTTAAATCAAAAATAAAATGTCAAACTTAAATGATTTATAAGTTAAAAAATAAAAGGCAGAGGAAGACCTACTTTTGATTTTAAACTTATTTTAAGTCATTTTAAAGTTATTTTTAACTTTGTCAAACACTTTCTGACTTATTTTAAGCCATTTTTTACTTACTCTAAGTTATTTTTTATATTTATCGAACACTTCCAAAAATAAAAATAACTGACTTTTAAATCAATTCAAACGCCCTCTTATTTAATCAACTATATCTTCTACAAGACCCCTTTCACATGTGTGGTCCTGACTTTTAGAAATTCCTTTTGATAACAAATAGCAACATAGCGCGAATCTAATACCTCTATATACTCTGATCATCAAGTTAAATCATATGATCATTTTTTAAAAAAATCTTAAATTATTAAAGAAAAACATAATATATCTCGTGTAATTTCATAAATGAATATAAAAATTATAATTTACTTTTAACGCAATTCCTCACGTGTGGTCCTGATTCTTTTTGAAAGGATGGTGTAAAACATGAGTGCAAGTTTAATCTTTTTCCAAGGAAGATAACATCATTCATGTGTTTCATTTGTCAATAGAAGATATCAAAACAAAAACAGATTGGTGGTCAGAATTTGAAAGGACAAATTACAGTTTCCCATTTCTACTTCTCATCTCATCCTCTACCATCATCTTTCCCAAATCCAAAGTTCTTGAAAAAAAATCAAAACCATGGCTTCTGCTTCTTCCTTTCAACTCTCAAGCCTTCAAATTCAAACCCCACCTCTTAAAAAATCAAACTTTCTTGGTCAATCTGTCAATCTCAACCTCAGTAGTAGTGTTCATACCAAATCAGCTATGAAATCATCTTCAAACTCAGTTACACCAATAGCAAAATTCAATCTTTATGAGATTCTTGGAGGTAGAGGTCTGTGTAATGGAGAAGAGGGTATAGAGAAAGAGCTAAAAAAGTCGATTTCCGAAGAACAAAAGGCAGTAGGATCAGCAGCAGCAGCAGCTAGTGATGATGATAATCAAGAAAACAAGGAGACTGGGGAGATACCGGAGGACGGATTTGAGAAAGAAATGATGGGGTTTACTGGCGGATTTCCGGGAGGTGAGAAGGGTCTAATGAAATTTATAGAGAAAAATCCACCACCACCACCACCCAAGAAAACAGAATCAAGTATGGTTTCTGGTTTTAATCAAAGTCTTGTGAAGAAACCAAAGCCACCTGAATTGCCACTTTTGTTACCTGGGATGATTGCTATTGTCAAGAATTCTAATAATCCATATTATATGTATTGTGGGATTGTGCAGAGGATTACTGATGGTAAGGCTGCTGTGCTTTTTGAAGGTGGGAACTGGGATAGGTTGATATCTTTCAGGCTCGAAGAACTCGAACGTAGAGAGAAAGGACCGCCAATGGTGAATCTTAAGTCTGTGATACTTGAGAAGATGGTAGAAAAGAGCTCTGAAGCTTGAATTGCTTCAGTTTTTGAGTAGATTGTTTGTTCTTTTGTCTTTTGGGTTGTTGTACATACAAGCTGTAAGTTTTGTAATGGCAATGGCATGTAATAAGAAATGCAGAAAAACTTTTGTGCAGGAAGAGTTCTGTCCCAAATGAGAAGTTCAACTCTTAGCAGTGATGTTCGAAAGAACTCTTAACAAAAACAACGTAAAAAATAAGAATCAGGTAATTCAAACCACTTGCAAAACATATAGTCAAATATTTAATATGATTGCACAAGATCTAGTTTTGTTTAAGTAATGAATCCTAGCATGTTCTTCTGATCAATTCATAGATCATTAGATACCATCAGTAATGAGGATCTGAAATATCACACGTTTTATCGAGCAAAGAGAGAGTCTAGCAGAACAACAACATACAGTATTTAACAGTGAGTGATAAAACAATTCTTACTTTTCACAAGCATGAGGTACCTCTGACACCACATATGGTGGATCTTAGACTCCATCCAATTGGACAACAGGTCGATATCGATGTAGATAAGTTCAATAATGATAGCTAGCCTGAGAGAGAGTATACAATGGTGCAAACTGCAAGATTTTGACAGATTCTCAAACAGATGGACCAAAATTTTATAATGCATAGTCTGCAAATGTTTACATTCAGTATCAAGGTAGTAAGCCAATCCACGCATTAGCCTCCAATGTCTAATGATCATTAATTAAAGATGTCATTTGCAGAATACACTTATAATTCCAGAAAACTGTGTCAGTTATACCATACATGCAAAAGAAATCACCCAAATGTAAGCCAGACGTCGAAAAACTATGTCCTCTGTCTGCACATCTTCGCCTCAAAATTAGTTGCAGCCACCTAACTGTAAAAGTGGAGAAACAGTTTTAAGGGCAGTTATTGGCAGATTTTCATAGAATTATCTCTAGAACAAAATTGTTTGGCTTGAACTTAACAAATATGGCATCATGAATCTGTCTTCGCAGGTTAGTATCTATATGCTTGTGTTTACATCTTAAGCGCAGATTGCAGAATGTGAAGTGATGGAAATGAAGATTATATAATTAACACAGTAAGGCATGGACATATTAGTTGAGGCTCTGTACATTCTATCACTGCTCTTTCCAATTACGAATTTGCTTTTGTTTTGACAGTATCTCAATTAGACTACGAGAGAAGATTGTGTCGACTGTTGCCCATACAAAGAACATTAATAAGATGAAACCCTTTAATTTCAGTAGCTCTTATTAATATATACACTAATAGAAGTCTCAAAAATGCTTTACGATAGGCTTCCAGTCCCATGGAAACAATATTTGAACGGTAAAACAAAGCTGAAGCAAGAAAAACAAGAAATGCAAAGTAAAGTGAGTGACCTAAGTTGCTCGGACTCTCCGAAAAGCAGCACCCGTGTTGGATCCTTCAAAAATACACTATTTTTGGAGGATCCTCCACGCACCTGTCGACATTTTTGAAGAGCCTGAACAACTTAAAAGTGAACAACAACATAGCCAGTGTAATCCCACAAGTGGGGTCTGAGGAGGGTTGTGCGTACACAAACCTTAGCCCTACCTTAGAGAGGTTGTTTCCTATAGACCCTTAGCTCAAAACATATGAAAAAGAAGACGACAAAAAGCATGGATAACAAGAAGAAAATACTATAATCAAAGCTAAAGAATCACCCATAGAAATAGAAATCTAAGAATACGAAAATACAAGACTAATACTTATACAATATAAAGAATATTTGATATAACCAATACTAAAGAAATATACAGGGTATTCCCTATAATAAAAGGAGGAAAACATTGGGGATTATCCATTTTCCCACAATTGGTAACAAAAATTAATTAAACAGAACTTGTAATATTTGAGTTCACTTGGCATAGAACTGAAGAAAACAACAACCTTAATAATTTATAACTAGATTATCTTATCAAAGGATCCTATAGTTACTTCGCATTTCCAAAGTAAATGATAGGCTTTTTTCTTTCTTTTTTTTTGTTACTCAAAGTTCTGATTAGCTAATACTCCCTCCATTTCGATTATATGGCGTAGTTTGACTTGACACGGAATATAAGAAAGAAAGATAGACTTTTGAAGCTTGTGATGTTAAAAATGCTTGAGACTTTAAAGAAATACAAGTATGTATTTAGGGTAAAACAAAAAATTTGAAGTTAAATTTTCCCAAATTCAAAAAGGTGTCATACTTTTTGGAATGGACTAATAAGGAAATAGTGTACATAAAATGGAACAAAATACAATGGGAGCAGTTTATACATACCAAAATGGACTCAATTTCCTCCTGAGACACCGGTGTTCTTTTAGGTTGGTCAGAAGCCTTCCCTGCAACAGACGTGCTAGATGGGGATCTTGAGAAGAATGTTTGAGGAACATCATCAGTTGCGGAAGTTTTCATGTGTTGTGAGTTCTGCTGCATGGAACCTGCAGAACAAGAAACTTCTGACTAAAGAATATGGTAAATCGGCAAACAATCTATCACACTAAAAGCTAAGTGCAAGTAGTAAATCATAGAATTGCATGCCAGACAGGAGTCCATGTTAAACAAACAAGATCCTTTATCAGGACCCGCTCTAACTCCCTCCTCCCTCCTTCCTCCTTTTTCTGTTTACTGACCGAAAAACATTTCAAAAAGAAGATGTCCGAGAACATAGTAACGACCCTAGGCATCACACACTCAGAAGAATTGGAATACGATAGGGAGAAATCCAAGGAATTGGAATAGTAAGATATCAACTTGCTGCATAAAGAAGATTAGAGATTAAAAGCTACTGTTTATGCATCTAGTTGCACCATAGACTTCTAAACTAGAAACTTTTGCATATGCACTTTGATCTTGATGCAAAAGGAAACCAGTGCCTGATTAAGGTGAATGGGCTGGAACATGCATTTTGTATTAAAAAAATTTCACTTGAGCAAGTCATGTTTGTTGATCTTTGAGTGTTATAATATAGAGGTGGTTCCAAAATAAGTATTTTATCGATATAGAATACTCATATTGATATAATGAATTTAACCATTTATTGCAAAATGTAAAAACGGGGATTTTACCCTCATTATAAACATCTTTGTTCCTTTTCTTCCTCGGTCAGAACATCCTACATTTTGAGAAGGTTGGGGAAGTTTGGAACTGAGAGTTAATAATCTTTATAGTACCTATCAACTAACTGAAAAGAGATTAAGATATCTCCGCAGAATAGTTCAGCTTCTAAATGAATTGATTAAGTGTAAAACACTATAACTCAAAACTTCTGCCATTTAGAATCAGACAGTTTTAAAGTTTTTCTAAATGCAGGCATTGACCATAATGAACAAATATAGTAAAGGCATAAATGGGAAGATTTGGACGGACCATGCCCCTCTCCGCGCATCGAACCACCTTGTCAATAGCTTATTCACATAAAGACAAATCAATGTGCACATAACACTACAGTATTATCAAAAAACAACATAAAACTATTAGTACTATCCCTCAAATAGGGCAGAGTCACCTATTTGGAAGTGGAAGCCCTGCTAACGTGGCTACTAAGCTTTTTCTCTGGGAAGCTCCTACTAGGATGAGAAATTCCCAGATAAAGCGCTAGTACCAGGTCAACTCATATTGGCCAAAGTGGAAGAGAAGAAAATGGTATTTCCGTTCCCTATAATCTCTATGAAAAAAAAGACTACCATAATTTTATTTGTTTTTGAAAATGTTTTCCTTGATACAGGAGTATTGGAAACAACCTCTCTATCTCACACAAGGTAGGGGTCAGGTTTGCGTACACCCCACTTTTCTGTTCACACTAGGCATGTTGTCATTGCTGTCAAAACCTATCACGATTTGCAAAAGAACTGACGGAGAGTCTAGGCATGAAAAAAATTTATCTATGATATGATTATTTCCAAGTACTTATAATCAGTTGTGTATTCAATTGAATCCCCTTCACATAAGAGAAAGTACTATTTAGGAGTTAAACGATTAAAAAATTACTCGAAACTATAGGTACAAATTTCAAGTATGTCCTTATATTTTTCTTGAATCCCTCGCCCAAATTTCCGACTCCACCACTCGGAACCCAAACTAGTTGAAGTCGGCTATATGAATCCTCTTAATAAATCCCGCTCCATTTAGACCCGCTTCACCCCCATTCTTTCTCCTTAACAATAAGCCAGTGGTTTTCTAACAGTAAGGCAGAATCTATCAAACTAGCATCAGCTAATAAATGGTTCTTTATATCCATTTAGCTCAATTTGGACCTATTTCTTTCCAAGACTTCATCTTTACAACAAATTAGTGCTTTCTACCACTATATCTCACAATTATAAACAAAAAAAAAAAGACATATTTCAAGAAGATCAAACAAGTCAATAAATACATATAGATAAAAAGAAAATTAGGAACACCAAGAATGAGAAAAAAACAAAAAGGGAATACCAGAAGAAGCTTTTGCGTGTCGTTGAGGAAATTTGATGCGTGGGATTCTCTTCACGATATGTGCTCCTGCTCCAGCCATTGTTTCGTCTCCAAAATCTGGAAAAAAAAAAAAGGTCTAAAAATTGGGTCTCTGTTAAGAACAAAAACTACAAAGAACAGAATAGGGAAATATATTAAGTAAAACAAAATAAGGAAAATATAAATTATGTACCCACTAAATATATTATAAAGAAGTTAAGAAACTTGGAAAGTTGAATTTTCAAAATTGCAATTTTCGAATTTGTACTCTATTTTAAAATTGTATAAGAAATTCTCGTTTTACTTATAAGATAATGGTTAAGTTTACCTATAATATATTCTTTTTATATTGAAACTTGTATAAATTTATCTATTTTCAGATTGTAATTACTTAGATCAGAGGATTTTTAAGAAATTGTCAATCTACTTATACGAGTTAGTGGTTAAGTCTACCTATTATTTATTTTCTTATATTAAAATTATATAGATCTTACTACTTTAGGAATACACTCTGATTTGCAATATAAAGTTAACATTATGTATAATTTGTAGATACATTTTATTTACCTGAATACATAACAAATCTCATTCCCTACACATATATATATGTGAATCAAACCAGATAAACGTATATATATATTTATCTATTTTAAAATTGTAATTACTTAGAGCATGGGTCTTTAAGAAATTGTCGTTCTACTTATACGATGTAGTGGTTAAGTCTACCTAAAATCTGTTTTCTTATGTTGAAATTTATATAAATCTTATTACTTTAGAAGTTTGCTTAGATACACTTTGATTTGCAATATATAGTTAAAATTATGTATAATTTACTTAGATACATTTTGTTTACATGGATACATAACAAATCTCATTCCCTACATAGATATATGTGAGTCACACCACATACATGTATTTAGTGTGACTCACATATATTTAGGGTACAGATGAATCTCGCTTTCCTCCCTCCTCATCTCACTTACCTCTCTATGATTTAGTATATCTTATAGTAAAAATACATGTATCCAAGTGTATCTTTCTCAATATATGGTTAAAAACTCTTAACTAGTGTTAAAATACCTAATATTTTAAAAGAATAAGTAATAAATTGTATATATGAGAGTAAATATGTCTAATTATGTAATTTATTCTTTTTATTTTCAATTTAACTCACGAGGCAGCACGATCCGACCTACCTCGTTCAAGTCTCAAGGGCCAACATGCTTACTTGGACCAGGTTAAAAAGGCTTATTCTAAAAAGCCCACAAATGGAGAGAATAAGAGAAATAGGGCCCAATACCTAGTCCTAAGTTAAACAAGACCCAATAAGGATTTGGGTTGGGCCGAAGAAGGTGAAAATGCGAGGATATATTTCACAAATAGCCATATCAGAGGGATATTTATAAGATAGCCATTATTGTAGAATTTCAAATTTCGCAATTAAGAAACCTGTCCAAAAATATACCTTAAAGTTGTGAAGAATGAGTCAAAAGTTCAATTATTTACAAGTTTTTTTCGAACGCCAAAAAAGAAAAATAAGTGTTTATTGTTTTTTTTTTACAATAAAATGTGAATATTACCATACAACTAAGTATTTATTGTTATTTATCGTATTTCCAATTTATTCTATGAATAATCAATTAACTATGACAAAATTGAAGTTATCCGTTTACTTGGTCATAGAGAGAAAAAAAAAGACCCTTCTATTTTTATTCGATAGAAAAAGACTCTTTTAGAGACTCAAAATGATGTGATTGAAGTACAATAATTAATTATAGGAAAAAGACCCTTTTGTTTTTGTTATTTTATGTATTTTGATTTAATTTTTTAAAAAATTGCTTTCAACTATTTCTGTTACGATTGTTTTTCTAGAATTGAGATTTCATCATAACCCTCTCTACCTTGAGGTAGAAGTATGATCTGCGTACACTCCATCATTTATGCATCCCAATTTATGGGACTACACTACACAGAATATTTTATTGTGATGATTTAGTATTTTAATTAATATAAAATACTAATATTTCAAAATTTTACATTCTAAATTCTCCACCGAAATAACATTTATTGAATTTGTAATTCAACATTTATACATAAATAATAATTTTTTAATAAAAATATAAAATTTAAACAAAAGTTAATGAATTTGTTTCATCCGTACATAAACAAAATTTGAAGATAGTATTAGTCAATGTAAAAGATTATTATTAGTGGATTTACTTGACCAATTGATATAGTAATATTAATATAATGATTAGTGGTAACATTAATAAAACAATGCAACTACACGTAATGTAATTATGTATTCGAATCAATGATTAAGAAGTATGTTACTTTTCAATTTGTCTAGAAGTAGTCTAATTTATGAAGCAATGAGAACACAATCTTGCAATAAACTAATTGCAACTATCAATTCTAATAAAGATCCAAGTTTTAATATATTATTACTATAAATCAGTAAATTTTCTATAGATCCGACTTATGAAAAAATCTATCAAAATTTAAAACCACTCGTTGAAGATGTTTTTTATTGGAAATTTTAATTTTTCAACTAAATATTTCTTATAGACATGTCCGAAAATTGATTAATTCCTAGTAATGTTACTCTATGAATTTTTTTAAGAATCAATTCTAATATAAGCAAACAATAATATATTTAGATATACATAACCAATTTTATCAAGTTCCTTGTGACATTTTTTTATGAATCATTATAGGTGCTTTTCTCCTACTATATATTGAAGACTCTTTATTTTGGGATCGTATATATTACCTGTGCTCTAAAAGCAAAAAAATGGGTAAAGAAGAACTTTCAAGTATTTGACGATCTTAATTAAATGTATTTGATATCAATACTGACTGATTATTTTAATGTACTATTTCTTCAAATATAAAAGATTATGTAAATATTTATTCGAAATGACTGATTATTTTAATGAATTATTTCTTTAAATATAAGAAGATTATGTAAACACTTAATCGAAATGAGATTCAGTTATTAGATTCCATTAGCTAGCAAACACAATCTTTTTCTAATCAAAAGAATTTTCATTGAAAAATAAACAAATTAAATTAAAAAATCTCTCATGAAGACCACAAGTCTCTTTTTTTTTATTTTTTTATTATCAAACAAATTAAATATTTTTTGATTGTGACAGTGGGACTATATGCATATATTACCCCAAATTATAATCCAATATAATTGACTCCTTCAAACCTTAATTCATCTATTTAAACACCTAATTCATTACTTCTTTTTCTTCATCCTCCTTCAACTATAATTTCCTCTACTCATACAATATATCAGTGAAAAATAATTATGGGATTTGCTAATTTTTTCCTCAAGGGAAAAAGAAGCAACTCCAAAAAAACCAATAAAGTTGAAAGTAGTAACACTAACACTACTACTACTTATGTTTGTAGAGATGAGTTAGATAAGAAGAAGCCAAAACTCAAGAAACAAGTGAAATTTGATTTGGAACCTAAATACCAACATCAAGTACTAGAAGAAGAAATTAACAAAGTTGATGATGATGATAATGTGATCAATAATAATCGCGGAGTTAGAGTGAAAATACTGATGAAAAAAGAAGATGCTGAGAGACTTTTATTGAAGTGTAGTGAAGGAGGTGTAGTTGAATTTATGGATGTAGCTCATGAACTTGTTTCTTCTAGTAATGTTAGGGTTATTTCTTCTCCTATTCATAATTATTGTAATTATGGTTCACTCAAGGCTATTCCTGAATAATGTTAGTACCTTTGAGGGTGTAATAATAAAGTATTATTTTTTATTTATATAATATATTTTGTTAGATTTTTGAGTTTCATGTTTAATTACTTTGAAAATATTAGAGTTCTGATAGTCTAATAATAATACTGCAGTGTAACATGATTCAACTATTCATCTAATTAAAACCTTAATTAAGTGATTGGAAATAGTTGATAAGTGAAAATTAGTAACTATTTGGGGCTATTTTTTTATTTTTTTTGGATATATAAATAATATCGTTGTGTGTTTCGATCGAAATGTTGAAACAAATAATAAACTGATGATATGTTTGGTATAAGAATGTTGATAAGCAATATTTTTTGAATAGCTAATATGTCCATTAAATTATTTCCTAATTTATAAAATTTTGAAAGATATATGTATATGGAGAAAACCAAACATGATTAGAGATTGAAATACGTGGTATGTAATTCTAGCTATACATGTTTAATTTAGGAAAAATATAGAGTCCGAAAAATGCATTAAGCTTTAACCAAAATTATTGTTACGATATCAAATTTTGTAGAAGAGCTTTTACTCCTGCACTATTTAATAGTGTATTTTAAAGGTATACATGTGTCTACGTGGACACGTTACAAGTTATATACACCCTTAAAATATATTATCAAATAGTGCAGCGATAAAAGGTTATTTCCAATATTTGACACTGTTATAACAATTTCAATCAAACTTCGAATATATTTCAGATTTTTGCCTTTAATTTATGTCATAAGTCGAAATTAGATGTAATAACAAAAACTCTCTTATTATAAGCACTAATAGTAGTAATAGTATGTATATATTACATGGGGAAATAAGCCTAAGATAATCTTGAGTCCGAAGCCTAAAGGGTAAAAAATATTAATAAAAATTCTAAAACGGTATATGAAATTTCTTTTTAACCAAAAGGGCAAAATCGCTCGCGAAGTAGCGATTTTGTCCATTGGAAAAAGCAAAATCGCTGCTATAGCAGTGATTTTGTTAAATTTGATTTTTTTTAAAAAAAAAAAATTAAAACAAAATCGCTCCCGAGGGAGCGATTTTCAATTTTCAAATTTTTTTTATACCTTTTTAAGTAAGTCGCTGCTTATGCAGCGACATTACCTTAATTTTTTATTTTTTTTTGCTTTTTTTATTTAAAAAAGTTTAAATGAAAATTTTTTTTTTTTAAAATTACATTGCTGCAATTTTTAATTTTTAAAAATTAAATCACTAAAAAAAATTTGATTTAGAATCGCTGCCTTGGCAGCGATTTATTTATTTATTTTTTAAAAAATTTAATTAAAAATCATTGCCTTGACAGCTATTTGA